GAAAGTAAAAAGAGAAAAGTTGACTTTAGGCCCCAGTAAAATTTTCTGTCTGGTGTGCACAGCGTATGAGGGGGTTTAGTTCAGGTTCACCGTTACACCTGCTCTTTTCTGTTGTCTGCTGTGCACCGGTGGTCATGGACCCCATGTGACACCCACACTCTGGGCCTAGGAAGCACTATTACCAGGGTTAAAGATAAGCAGGGCCCGGGGCGCCTCAGTCGGTGAAGCCTCCGACTTCCACTCAGGTCACGATCTCACGGGTCGTGAGTTCGAGCCCCATGTCGGGGTCGGTGCTGACAGCTCAGAGCCTGGAGCCTGCTTCGGACTCTGTGTCCCCCTCTCTCTCTGCCCCTCCCCTGCTCGCACTCTGTCTCTCTCTCAAAAATAATAAACATTTTTTTAAAACTTAAAGAAAAAAGTTAAGTTGGGCCCCAATAGGCGCAGTCCTTTGCGGGGGGACCCACAGCCACAAGGGGACAGAAGTACCTCCAAACCGACCCTCTTAACCTCTGGGCTGTGCCATCTCCCCACCCCCACCCTGTCATGGGTCACCTCATGTAATCTGCTCAAGTCAGTTCTGACGGAGCAGGTGCTGTCCCCATTACAGAGCAATCAGATTTCTTCAAGGTCATGCCAAGGTCAGGGTTAAGAATGAGGAAAGAAAAAGGCAGAGGGACCGATTGCCTTTCGTAATTTGTATTGGGCTTTCGTGCTTGTTACAAGATGACTTACGACAAGATGGAAACTTGAGACGATCCAGTTACGAGCAAGAAGAGAATAGCACCCGTAGTCAAGTGGACACAGCCACCTCCAGAAATATCGACCGTTACCCTTTGTTATACATCCTTCCCGCTTCTAACACTGCCAACCCATCCTTCTATACTTCTAAACAAAAACTGGGCTATAGGTACAGTTTTGAAACTTTCCCCTTAATGCATGAACGCCTTTCTGGGTCCCAGCCCATAGATCCACATCCCCCTTCCCCCCAGCGTTTCCTTAGGGGAAGTTTTAGACGTACACAAAAGATGTTAAGAATTTTCCAGCGAACGCTCAAAAACCCACCACGTGGATTCTCCCGCTGACATTCTCAACATTTTTTATTTATTTTTGGGACAGAGAGAGACAGAGCATGAACGGGGGAGGGGCAGAGAGAGAGGGAGACACAGAATCGGAAACAGGCTCCAGGCTCCGAGCCATCAGCCCAGAGCCCGACGCGGGGCTCGAACTCACGGACCGCGAGATCGTGACCTGGCTGAAGTCGGACGCTTAACCGACTGCGCCACCCAGGCGCCCCTCTCCCGCTGACATTCTGCTGGACCTGCTCTATCACGTTTCTGTCCAGCGGTCCACCCCTCCCTCCACCCACCAATCTTTTACCCTTCCTGCATTTCAAAGCATCCACGGTCCCCTTTGCAGTGCTGCTGGGGTTCCGTCCTAGATGCATGCCATCACTGATTTAACCAGACCTGAACGTGGGCTCACTTCCCGTTTGCACCACGCAGATGCAGCGGTGGGACCGTCCCCGCCTGTCCGTGTCTGTGCAGAGCCACAGTCGAGTCCCTACCGCCAGTCAAAGGAGTCTCGGTCAAAGCTTTTCCAACGGTGCTGGCAGACGCCCTTACTGTCCTGCCTCAAACCACAAGCCGTGATTCAGGCTCATGAGCCCCATGGCGGGTTTCCGTCCCGGCTCTGCAGAATGCCCAAAACTCCATGCTGGCGTCTTCTCCATCCATTAAACCAAAGCTTTTTGACTGTTTACGGTGTGCCAGATCCCATTGGCCAACATACCTCGGCAAGTGAGACAGGCCAAATCCCCTCCCCTCCTGGCACTTCCATTCTAGTGGGGAGGGAAAGGATAAACAGAATAACACTGTAAAGCGCGGTGTGTCCGATGAGGAGAAGTGCTGTGAAAGAGGGAAAGCAGGGGAGGGAGGCGCTACAGTTGAAACAGGGTGGCCAGCGAAGGTGTCACTGAGGTGACATCGGAGCAGAGGCCTGAAGGAAGGGGACGATGAGCCGTGCTGGCATCCAGGGGATGAGCACTCCTGGCAGAGGGAACAGCATTCCTGGCAGAGGGAACAGCATATGCAAAGCCCCCGAGGTGGCGGCATAACTGGAGCCTTTGAAGATAAGGAGGCCACTGTGGATGCAGAGCCAAGGGGAGAGGAACAGACAGTGGGGTCAGTGGTACTGCAGCCAGCTCATGGGGTCTGTGGCCGGGTAAGCACTTGGGGTTTACGCCGAGTGACGCAGCAGCCACAGGAGGGCTGTGAACAGTGGAGGGTGGTTCTAACGAGATGTCTCCGGCCACTGCAGCGGAGGCGGGGAGCCCTGTGAGAAGGCGGCCACAGCAGCCCAGAGCAGGGGGTCAGCCCCGGCGGGGGGCGGGGGTGGCCGGGGAGGGCGGCGGAGTGGTCAGAGTCTGGAGAGGTTTTGAAGGTGGGGCGGTCGGCACCTGCTGATAGGCTGGGTGTGGGCACGAGAGGAAGAGTCGGGGAACTTTCGGGGCTTCTGTCGGCTTCGCTCAGAAACGGGGGCGTGAGCTTCATATAGTCAGGGCTCACACCTCCCGCTTCCTCACCCGTCCGTGTCTCCCCAGGACCAGGGGCCCCCTGCCACCCTCCGCTAAGGCCCAGGGCTCGCACCTCCTGATCCATACCGTGGACGAGTCAATCAACACGACTTTCATCTGCCACGTCACCAACGCCCTAGGGACTGGCCAGGCAGAAATGACCGTCCTGATCAGAGGTGAGGAGCCCCCCCCCCACCCTGCCCCGGGTGGAGAGAACAGAGGGACAGAAGGAGAAGGTGACAGCAGGATCCCTTCTGAGGGAGAAGTGTGGAAGCGGTCCCCTGGCTAGGGAGTCTTCGGCCACAAGACCGCTCTCTGATTCCCATTCTACCCCTCATCCCCCTCCCGAAAGGACCAGTGGAGTCCTCTTTACTCTGGTAACTCACCATCTGTACCATTGCAACAATCATCGTGCAGCCTCCTGGCTACACCACTCTGCAAACCCAGGCCGGGGCGGTTGCGTGAGGCTTGTCCCCAGGGACTGGGAAGGGCCTTCCCAAGCAAATTAGGCAGGGCTCTGTCAATTGCAGTTCATAGAAGCCCAAACCCCGAATAGTCTAAGCAAGAAAAACGGGACTTGATTGAAAAATGCACCTTCAGGCATGGTCGGATCCACACGCTCCAGCTGTGTAACCCCAGAACTTTCCTTTACGTCTCTCTCGTCTCTGCTGGCTGTGTGTGCGCTCAGAGAGGCGAGATGTCCCCCAGCAGCTATAGCCTCGCGTCTCCCCTAGTTCAGT